ATATATATATATATAGAAGCACTTAGGAGCAGCGTACCTGGGGCTTCCTCTCGACGCTGTTCCTGTGACTCTCCTCTTTTCTTTGGTTTATCCTCCTTGATACTGTGATGTGTTTCTGTTCATTTAGACCCCAAGGAAAACCGATTAGTCGCATTCATTCTATTATCTTCATCCTTTTCTGTTTGACTCAGGTATGCTGGCGTGTCATACTCAATCCTCTGTTTTTCATGACGGTTATTGGAGTCGTGCTCAACTTTATCCTTAAACACGAGATCCCTTATTATGTGGATGGTCTGTTGAAAATTATTGGTACGTTCAAATGTTACTTCATAATTTTATGCACAAATTAATTGATTTTTGGTGTCCTACATTGTATGCCAGTTCATAAGGCATAGTAAAATGGTATACTTAATTGTCACTAGGATCTACTGTGTGGAGTCCCCTAATCGGCACCCTTTCCCTGAGAATTGATATTGCCTATAGCTAAATTGGATACTGGATACCGGGTAGCTTCGGCTTATGTAACTCTAACGTGGCAGTTCTTGGTTAGTGCTATGCATCCTTCGGGACATCGAGCTATAGTTATTTGTTTTGTGACCCTCATTTTCTCCACTGCGGTTCCGTTCCACAAGTAAACAACTTTGTTAAAATGCAGTGTAGAAGTAGAAAGTTATGTTTTGGATAAAGACAGCAAGAGCCAGTGGACTGAAGAAATTGATGTACAGAATCAATGTTATGGTTCAAGCCGTGATTGTCTAGTGAGAGTGCGCTTGAGAAGTGAGAATTGTTGTAGTGTTCATAATGAGATGAAAGGTAACTGGCAACCTAGCCCTGGAACTTGAAGTGGCGAACCGCATAAAGCACCGATGGCTAGGCTGTGGTACTGACCCGGCTGACGGCAGAACCATCTACCATTACTCAAGTCATTAGCCCGACAAGACCACCAATCAAAACGTCTGACAAGATTCTAGTCAACCAGTCGTTTTGTATATGGATTTCCGTGTCCTCTTGCCCCCATCAATAAGCATGCTTTTGGCATAATAGCAAGCGAGTTCCTATATGCTTCCAACTTTACTCCATTTCAATACACATGGAATCACTGTATGCACGAAAAACATTTATTTACTTATTCTCGTCACAAACGTCTATACTGTGCGCCAAACAAATGACGGTACAATTATCTTTATGGACAGAAAAAATTTACGTGTAAAGCTCCAGAGTGCTGTACTTCTTTGTGATGGAGGCCATCGGCAGATGATCCAGTAGCGAGACTAATCCGGGTGGTTATGCTTATTTGGCGAGGGGTTGTTTCTGTCGAATCCAACTATGGGAATTTCGGTAGCCGATCTTCAAGCGATCCCACAAAATCCCTAGGCACAATTGGAAACCACCCATTTGAAGCCGATAGACGCATTGCGGGTTGCAGATATCCCATCCGACTGGGGTTTCCCCAGTTCTGCGGACATTTTTACTCAGTACTCGATATCACTGTATGAAGATAGTGATAATTGACGCGGTTGATTTTACCATTTGTTCTAGCATCGTAAATCGGGAGTGCGATTGTTTCAGCCTACGGGTAATGAGAGAAAACCCGTTTAAGTGTCTCATTTTCGTCTGCGGACTTCGGTCACCTTAGGACGCAGAGCTCAGAAGGCGCCCACTGAACATAATTGAACAGGATACCAATGTCACATTATGGGCTTTGACGGTGGAGTGCTGGAGGCTGAATACATTAAAGCATGATTCAGCCATTGTAGAGCGCTCCAGAAACAAATGCATGCGGTCACCAAGTCGATGCCCATCCACAGATCCAAAGATCCAGTAGCAAACAGACATTCAACTGCATATTATCAATGCGGTGATTAGCATTTCATTCGCCGTTGTGTATTTAAGGAGGAGGCCTTCTTGTTTAACTATCAAGTATGCATATTTGGTCAAACAGCCTCCCGGTTGGTCACCGGATAGGTTCCGAAGCCTTGTTTGGATGATTAACGTTATAGGATGGTTTGTGCATGTTTGATCCTGAGTAAAACATTGTTCACATTGGGGAACGCTGACTGCCAAATAAACTTTAATCTCCCCCAGAACCGTAGAAAGTTAGAGATTGCACTTGATAATATCCTCTTTATATGCATTACATTATACATTACACCAACAGGCCACTTTATTTAGCACACTCAAATTGTCCCCATTTTTCTTGTCTTCACAATACATCCAATCGATTCCAAAGCTTGTGGATAACCGGATGGATTTTTTCGCTCTCTGACTGCCAATCTTTTTTCAGCCGAGTCCTTTGCAGCCACTGCTCTGTTCACTCTGGGTTTCGGCATGGTCGGAAAAATGAGCACGATTACGCAACGTGAACTCTACATCTTGGCCGCTATTCTCCTATCCAAACTGTGGGTTCTGTCATGAGCATTCCTTTTTGGTCTGTGTTTCCTACTCAGCTTTCTTTGTTGCCACTCAAAAAGTAGAATGTTGCACCCTATCGATTGTGAGTAGTGTGTGCGTGTGTTTGAGTGAATATATTTATGGGAATCGCTTTCATCTAGGATACTCCAAGTTGTTTATGGCGCTTTTTGCTTCTGTTTGTACATTCAACAGTTTGACCCATTGATGTGATTAACTCAACTCTTAGCGTGATTCCAGAATACTCAGTTCCAATGGGAGCAATCGCTAATCGGGGTCAAAATTTCGGAAAACCATAATGTTTTTGCCCCGGCCTTGCTGTTTCCTGTCAATACAGAAATATGACATGTATCACTGATGTCGACTAGCCATCCTTCTGGCTTCATTTTCACTAACAATGTTCAGTTGATCCAATCAACCGTACAATCGGGAAGCAGTGCACTTGAGAAGAAAATAAACCCTGAGAAACCTACAATCAGCTGCTCAGAGAAGAGTGAACAACACAACGGCAAAAAGAAAGGAGTTATTAGCCAAGAAACCTGAGAATTTATGTAAGCACGAAGAGACTGCGCAACACGACACCTAGATCAGTAACATTTCAACACGTCCAATATCAAACGAACAAAAAGAAGTTCTCACCAGAGGACTTCACTTCAATGCAAAAAACGCGACA